ATATAAATATTTCAAAATGTGATATCTTGGCGAAAAAAAGATATTTTGGTACATTCAACGGCATTTGAAAGGGAAATATTTGTATTTTAAGATAGTTTAAATAGTTTTCTGTGAAAAAGTTTATTTATAATGCTACATAACCTTAAATATATCAAAAAACAGTGTTTTTTGCACTTTTAGATTGGGATATCTCAAAACGGTGGATAAAAAAGTATTTTGTAACGTAAATCAAATGATTTGGCTGTTGTGATAGAAGTCGTGTGAGCTGGTATATTGTTATGATGGAAAAAAAAATTTTTTCTTTGCCAGATGGGGCCGCTTTTTCTTCAGTATGACATCAAATCGGTTTAATAATGAAGCATAATATTCTCCTTTAAAAATTCTTCGTTTCTTTAGGTAATCGATTATTATTTTATCATTTAAGACCTAAAAAATTGTAACCATGACTTTTCCGGCTGATCGTACCGTCTTCGCTTTTTTTGGCGTAGATTCAGCTGGCCCAGTTCACATTTTCAACTAATTTTTCATTTCTGGCGTAAAATAATGAATACATGTTTCATCAATAGTAATGTACCGTCGCAAAAGCTCTTATAGATTAAGTTGAAACATGCTCAAATTGCCTCAGGTGCAACCACACGATCTCGCTTGTTATCAGTTGCAAGCAAGCGCAGCACCTATCTTGCAGATACGTTTCTTATACCCAAACATTCATGTAAAATATTCCATGTGCATCCTACTGAAATATTAAGAGCCTCACTAATCTCACGCCCTTGCAGTCGATGATCGGTGAGTACAATATCATGAACTTTATCGATGATGTCTTGAGTAGTCACTTTGTTTGGACGGCTAGGACGTCAACATCACTTACAGCCTAGCATGCTCTTACGGCCACAACGAAATTCAGTAAACGACTTTTGAACCATACGATGCGAAGAAGCACAGTTTTTTCTAAGCTTTTCTTTAGTTTCTTTGATTAATTTTCCCCGTAGGAAATAATGTTTAATAAGCACACGAAACTCATTTTTTCTATGATTTTGTTTACACAATTAAAAACTAAATTCAAATGACTGTAAGAAATTTCCAAACCAACGTACAGACTTGAAACTGTTTATACGCATTTATACTAGATTTATACGCTTATAGTGTAAAATACGTTACGATAACATCACTATCTTCCGAGATGTCACGAACTTATTGAACGATCTTTGTAATAAGGCAGGTTTTTGGTTAATATAGTTGTTAAAAATTTGTTGGTGTGTGTAGTTTACTATATTTCAAGAAAGAAAAAGAATGGCTATTTTGATTTTGTTTTTATTAAATGATCTATGTTACTTACTGTTACTTGTCCTTACATTATACGTATTTGTAATCAAACTTACTCGTATTGTACTCATTCATGAAGTAGGTTACACAGGCTTTCAATTAATATCCGGAACGGCTGAATTGAACTTCATTTCTGAAAAAGGTCAAGGTCAGTTTTAGTAACTTTGAACAAGGAATCCGATGGTGACCTTGGATTTGACTTTGAACCTCATTTTCAAGGTTATTTTGAGGTCAACCTCATTTTTCAAATAGGAACCCTTATTTTCGATACTGGCAATCGATAGAGCGGAAAATTTTATGTTCAAATATGTGCTTAGGTCGCAGAAAAAATTTGACCTTAAGGGTTTCTCCAAGGTTATTTACCCCCAACAAGGTATTAAGATATCTTTGAACATTTTTTCGATCAGTATAGTTTTTATTTTTGTAGTTTTTAACGAAAAATCCGGTAATCACCTTCAACTTGACCCCCAACTCAACCTCCACTTGACCTTCAAGGTCATTTCAAGGTCAACTGCTTTTTTAATCGGAAATCCTAGTTTTAATACCGGAGTCGATAGAGCAAGAAACTTTACATTCAGATTTTATTTTTTTTAATGATGAGCTGACTTACCCAGAAACAACGATGTGAATGTAGTAAAATCTGTTTCCTTTGGAGTGCTTGAGTAGTGTGAGTCCCCTTGCCTCTCACTTAAAGGTTCAAATCTTAATGGCAATGCCATTATGGTTTTGAATAAATCGAAATTTTAGTAGTAGATTCGAATTCGGCGGCCTCAAAAACCCCCGAGTAAAAATTTCAAGCCAGAATAGTCAGTTACAAGGAATGTTTATAAAGGAAAATGTTAGATAAAATAAACGTTTGTTTAAATTGTTTTTAAACTCATTTCAAATTTGTAAATAGGTTGTAACAGGATGGGTACCGTTTAATTAATTTTATCCACGTAATCGTATCGAAAAGCACATGTAATTACCTATGTTAAATACGAAAGTCGGAGAGCAAGAGGGAACGGGTATCAGTCAACCAACTAACTACAAGTTCGAAAAGAACACTTCGAAAATACTGTAAATGTCACAGACGAGAACTTTTATTTTCTCTCAATATTACATCAAATTCAGTCCGCGCGTTTGTTTACATTAGCGCGCACGACAACAATATGCGGTGTCGGATCGATCGCCGCTCTTTGTTTGCCGAGATGTTACATGCACGCTTTACTTCGAGTACGGAAAATTGGTTATTAGACATGCAATCGCGGTCGCGAGATCAAGCTGGTCAGCTTACCTTAATGACGAGTGTTCGGCAGCGAACGAAACTCAGCACATACAGCGCGTTCGGGCAAAGTCTATTGTTCCCCTTATTTTCGTATGTCGCGAACTCGCGCGCGCACGGTTTCGCCTTCGATGGCGAAACACCTCACACACACACTTGTGGTAACAGGCGAAGGCACCGCGTCTGCAGGCTCAGGTCAGCTCTCTCTGGGCGTCTCAGCAACAACAAAATTACCTACGATCGGAGGACTTCGGTCTCGCTTTCGATTTATGCGTGTCTCGTGAAACGTCGGCTGAACCTATATTCGCCGCTCCTCGTATCGGTAGTTAGGCCTGCACTCCTTTGTTTTCAATCGCGCGCGTTCCGCCTCGTCGTGTGCCGAATTCCCTCGTTACATTTTTCGTCTACCGGTAAGTGCTGCCCCCGCAGGCAGCCACTAGGTTAGGCTATTAGCGCTAATTCGACGTTTACCGTCACAAGGTAAATACAAAGATTGAATTCAATAATTTTTTATTAAAGTTTATGAATTAAAGAATTTCTAAACTTAAGAACTCTTTATATTTAATCATTTAAGAAAACAAACTTTATTAGATAAATTTCGTTGTTCCTGAATTGTACTTCCGGGTAATAATTTTCGAACAAAATAAGTTCCAGAGTTTAAGTACACAAATTTATTTTATGTAAACATTTCTTTCGGAGCAATACGTTTTCCTTTGTAACTGATAAGGTTTTCTTTTAGTTTTAATTCTTGTACTATTCTTATCTAACTAAAAAAATGGCGTATGCTAAATTTTCCAAGCGAGAACGGATAAGTTTGTTGATGATGCGTGGTTAGGGAAATCGAGTTTGATCTTACCTTGAAATGCACACACTGTTCAATAACAATTTTCATAATCAAGATGGACAAAAGCCTGTTTCAAAATCTACAGTCAAAAGGACTGTACAACGCTTCGCAAAATTTGGAACTATTAGTGATCTTCAGAGAACTGGTCGACCAACATTTGTTGCAACTGAGGAGAAGCAGATTGAAATTGCTCAAGCGTTCATTGAAAATTTACATCTTATTTTGCGTAGAGCTGGGTATAATCATAATGTTTCTCATGAATTTGTACGAAAAATTCTGTAAAGCATTCATTTTCATCCTTCATTTATTTTATTCATGGAGTGAAATCAAGTGGCCGGCTAGATGTCCAGATCTGACGTCACTCGATTATTTTCTCTGGGGTTACCTTAAGAGTAAAGCTTATGCCATCAAACCAAACAACTTAGAAGACCTGCGCAATCAAATTATGTAAGTTACTGCTAGAATTGATAAAGTAATGATTCGTGATGCTGTTACTCATTTTTATAATCGTCTAGCTTTTTGTCAAGAAGTTCAAGGTTTTCAGTTTGAGCATTTCCATTAAACTTTGAACTTTTAAGTGAGAGCCAAGCGGACTCACTAATCAAACATCCCAAAGAAAATAGGTCTTACACCACCATCTCGTTGTTTCTGCATAACGCTAAAAGTAAGAATAAGTACGATAGTCAGGTCATCATTTAAAAAAATACTCTCTGAATATAAAGTTTTCCGCTCTTTCGATCTCTAGTATTAAAACTGGGATTTCTGATTAAAATAAAATGAAAAAAAACCAGTTAATCTTGAAATGACCTTGAAGATCAAGTGGAGGTCGCGTTGGAGATCAAGTTGAAGGTGATTACCGGATTTTTCGTTAAAAACTACAAAAATAAAAACTATACTGATCGAAAAAATATTCAAAGGTATCTTAATACCTTGTAGGGGGTAAATGACCTTGGAGGAACCCTCAAGGTCAAATTTTTTCTGCGACCTAAGCACATATATGAACATAAAATTTCCCGCTCTATCGATTGCCAGTATCGAAAATAAGGGTTCCTATTTGAAAAATGAGGTTGACCTCAAAATAACTGATTGGTTGACTCAAAATAATAAATGAGGTTCAAAGTCAAATCCAAGGTTATCATCAGATTCCTTGTTACTAAAATTGATCTTGACCTTATTCAGAAATGAAGTACTTTCGAAAATATTGAGCCGTCCCGGGACTTAATTGACATGTTGTAGAACTAGACGTAGTTTTTCATAGTGATTTTCTACGTGGAATGGTGGCAACGTAAATTACTTATTCTACGATAGTTCTATCTTACTTGATACCTAAAAATGACTTTATTAAAATCTATTGAGGGATATTATATGTATTATAAGATTTATACGTATATATTTGATTAATTTTGATTTTATCCCTATAATGTATAAATAATTGCCTCTTCATTAGTTTATAGCGTCAAAATTACGTAACTCATACACATTGTAAATTAGGATAAATTTGATAATTATAGACATCTATACGAATGTGATATAAAAATGTTTCTTTTATAAAATACTATATTTTTCCAGGAAAATGATTTTCGATTCTCATGATGATGATGAAACAGATTACTCTCCATTACCAGAAGAAAGACCTGGTGGATTCAATTGGGCTCAAGTACCGAATTTACAGTGATTGATGAATTAATTTTTAGAAAAGGCCTTTTCATTGAGATTATATTCTAAAAAAATTTTGTTCAAATCAGTGAATTAAATAAAAAATTGCAAAAGCGGATAATTTTACTTTCCGCGTATAGTCCTTATGTTTAACTTTATTTGTCATTTTGTTGACTAACATACGTTCTGTAACAGGCTACCGTTTAGTCGCAAATCCTGGGTAATTGTAGTTACCAATACGACCAAACGGTGCTCCGTTAGCTGTATGCTTCAAGTACACTCACTCACCTCGCTCCGGTGTACGCATGCGCCGAGTTCTCTCAGTGATCCAACTTAGATGCGCGAACTCTCCGCAAGGGGTGCTGAGGCGCTTGCTTGCCAGCGCTCCGTCGGCCGCTGCAGACAACTCGGTCGACGAACAGCTCCTTCTATGCTTTCGCGATCCGTGCTGGATTACCGGCGCGTTCGAATCAAATGTAAACAATAACACCGACACCGGACAAAGGGTAGACGAAATAATAAGAACGTCTCTTATTGATCTCTAACTACTTCATTGAACCAAAACTAAACCTGTACAAGGGACGATTTGCCGAGAGTCTGAACGCACGCTATTTCGACACAATAATTTGAATGGGGAGAGAGAGAGTAGATTTCGTGGATGTCGCGGACTAATCGCACGCACGCTACCTAAAACTCACCGCGCGCGCTGCGCGGGATCGCACGCACAACGTAATAAAAAGTGCAGTGCACCTACCGCTGAATCGATGAGGATACGGTGGACAACCGTATCCGACTATACTAAAAGGATGACGAACTGCCTCTGCGACTGCCCTTCGCTGATGCTGTTGCGTTGCTGTGGATGCTGCCGAGGTTGAGCTCGCTGCTGCTGAGGCCGCACACGTTGAGCAGTATGTGCACTCGACACTTCACTCACAATTATCTACACAAACTCCCTGGATCTCACTCGGAAGGAAAAAACACGTCGTTGCGTCTAACACGATAAGCTACGATGTAGGCGGACTGAAGGACACAGTCATACTGGCTCGCTACCTCTCCCCTCCCGGTCATTGCCCCTAACGCGCCCTCTCTCTCCCTCTAACCCAAGCCGATCACGGCTATTACACTTAGCCACGCTCGACAGTCTACGCCAGTCCTAACGATTTTCGACAATCGTTGCAGCCCTCTCCTAAATTCGGACTACCGGGCTGAACTATTACATTGACTCGCGATACAAAGGACAGGAGAATGACGGGGAGAAATCACCATGCGTCACTCTTACAAAAGACACCTTTATTATGCCACCTGGGCCACCATACATCCGGAGTCACCGGTCGGCGCCTCCTGGTCCCTTGTGGCGGGGATAGCGCCAATGTGCCCCCTTATTTGGGCACTTGGAGGTAGTGGTGATCCCCGGATGGCCACAGATGTAACAGCCCCTCCGCTGCGACTTGGAGGAACCGGGCGTTGACCCTTGCCCTTGGCTCCCCGCAGATGGAGGTGGCTGTGCGGTCGAGGTTCCCGGGGTGGCGGTAAACGTCACGCCGCCCACCGTGGCGGAGGTGCGCCCACCATGTGTCCGCATCACCACGGTAGGGTCGGAAACCTTCGACCCGTCCACGTAGACCGTGAACCCTGTCCGGCGCCGGGGTCCCCCGAGGCTCTCTTCTGTTGAGCCTGCACTGGGGGCTTGGCAGGAGTCTTGGCCGCGGTCTTGCCTCCAGGCACCGTCGGCTGTACAGCCGCCGGCGGGTCCGCGACCTCTGGGGACTCCTGCCCCCGGTCCACCCGCAGCAGGGCCTCTCCATAGGCCCTCTGCCGCCGGACTACCGGAGCCCACTCCCCGAGCAACTCCCGGGCTCCCTGGAAATCGAGGAACTGGTCGGCGTTGAAGTTCCCCGACGAACTCCCAGGCGTTTTCCAGCTCCTGGAGGCCCAATCTCACATGCCTCCAGGAGCTCTCGAGCCCCTGTTGCTCGGGAATGCGGGGGTGGTTGCAGACCTACTGTTCTGGGCCACAGGCCTCCCTTGGCTTGGGGCACTGGGTCGAACTGTCCGCCACCTCGGGTTTGCTTGACCCCGGGGTCTGCACCCCCTGGTCCACGGTGGATGACGACCGACGGCCCTCTTCAAACGGTCTGGATGGACGCCTCCCGGGTTGGTGCCTTCCTTGGCGGCGGCTTCAACCCCTCTCGGAGGAAGTCGTCTACCCGCTGGCGTGGGCGGTTCACTCGGGTGGCCACCTCTACCTGGGCCCGGACAAAACTCCGGACTTCGCCTATCGGCCGATCGGCGTCCGGACCCAGCTTCAGGTCGAGGAGCATTCGGGTGGCCACCTCGAAAGCCTCTTCACCTATAACCAGCTTTCTCTCCATCTGTAAAAGAGAAGAGTGCAATCAGGGGATGTCTCAGGTTTGCCCTTAACCTAACCGGCGTTATGTCACGCTCGACGCTACGCTTTACGAGGACGTCCCGGTCCCCTATGCTTCACTCGCGCGTGTGGCTTATTGGCGAGGGGAATTGGCAGGACAACCTTCCGCACGTGCTTGATGGTTTTACGGGGCATGCCCCTTTCCTTTGGTTTCTCGCCATCCGAGCCACTGCTACCCAATGCCTGGGGCTCACTCACGGGGTTCTTGCGCGGTCTACCGCGGCCTCGCTTGGCCGTTGCCTCGGTCAGCGTCTTTGGAGCCACTACGGACTCATCGCACGCATTCGCGGGGGCTGCTACCGCGGCACTCTAACATAGAGGATCCCCGCTGGGACCCGCGACCTTCGTGGGCGGGTCGCCTGCGCCCTCCTCTTCACCGAACGGCGTTGAATCCCCGTGTTCCGGCTCCTCGTCGTCTTGGTCCGAGAATGGGCCGAAATAGGGCTTGAGGTCCTTGGCGTGGACCAGCTCGGGCAATACCTCCTGCTGGTTACTGAGGAGGTAGATATTGGTCCCACATACCTCCTCGATGATATACGGACCAGCATACTTCGGTGCCAACTTATCCGACACGCCCTGAGTTGCGGAAGACAGGATACGGTTCCGTTTCCACACCCAGTCCCCAACCCTAAAGTCGGCCTGACGTCTCCTCTTGTTGTAATAGACTGCCTGACGATCCGCCTCCTCCCTGGACTTGGAGCCAGCGCGTTCCCATAAGTTGGGCAACAGGCGCATGTGCTCACCCCATTCGGTTAGTTCCTGGCCCTCAGAAGCTTCTCGGGCTAGCTGATCCTGGGCCCTTCTAAAGGTCGAGGGAAGAGTGGGTTGTCGTCCGAAAACGAGCATAGCCGGGCTATAGCCTGTCGCGCTATGAGTTGCCGAGTTCAACGCGAAGTTGAACTCTGGCAGGTGCTCGTCCCAGCTCTTATGATCACGCTCTACGTATGACATGAGCATGGTCTTGAGGGTTTTGTTCACTCGCTCCGTAGGGTTGGCTTGTGGGTGGTAGACTGGAGTGAGGACGCGCCGGATGCCGTTTCTCAGCAAGTAGGCATCGACATCCTGGTTCTTAAATTCGGTTCCATTCTCCGAAAGGAATATCTCAGGCGCGCCGAACCTGGTTACCACCCTCTCGTGCAATTCCCACACAATGGTCCTTCCATTGGCCTTGCGTATGGGTACGCACTCAACCCACCGAGTGAACAGGTCTAAGAAGACCAAGATGTACTCAAACCCTCTCGAGCTCTTTGGGAATGGGCCCGTAATATCGCTGGCCACCGCCTGCCAGGGTCGCGAGATCTCTCGACGACCCATTACCCCGCAAGGCGGTCTTTGTTCCGCCTTGCATTGTTGACAAACCGGGCCACTCCTCACGTACTCTCTGACCTGCTCATACATCTTAGGCCAGAAATACAGGCGTCTAGCCCTGGAGAACGTCCGTTCTCTCCCCTGATGTCCCGCTGCTGGCGCATCGTGTACCTCTTCGAGCACTTGGTGCCTTTTCTCAGCAGGAACCGCAAGCTTCCAAGCTTCCTCGTTGTCGATGGATCCTTCGCTATCTTCCGTCGGATTGTAATGGTACAGCCTCCCTCCGACTACCTTCCAGGTAGGCTGAGAATGCGGATCCTGGCATACTTCTCGGTACTTCTGCAGATACCAGGTATCGGCAGTTTCCGGCTGATGAGTCATGGTACCCACTTCTACCACTTCCTCCTCATAGGCCCTAGACAAAGCGTCTGGCACCACGTTGAGGTCTCCCTTTCGATACTCTATATCGAAAACATGTCCCTGCAGTGCTAGCGCCCAACGCGCTAGCCTGCCTGTAGGATTCCTCATACTGTGGAGCCACCTAAGGCAACTATGGTCGGTAATGACTTTGAAGTGGTGCCCCTCAACATAAGGTCGGAACTTCTCGATAGCCCATACCACAGCCAGGCACTCTCGTTCAGAGACTGTGTAATTTCTTTCCGCACTGTTTAAGGAGCGACTAGCGTACTCAATGATGCGCTCCTGTCCACCGATTTCCTGCGTCAGTACGGCGCCGATCCCACTATCACTCCCATCAGTTTGTAAAACAAACTGTCCGCTGGGATCCGGCGACTGCAGGATTGGTACAGAGACCATTGCGTCTCGTAGCCTTTCGAAAGCTTGCTCTTGTTCCTGCTGCCAAGCGAACGCAACGCTTTTCTTCGTCAGGCGGTTTATCGATTCAGCGATTGTCGCGAAGTCGGGTATAAAGGCGGGTGAGGCCCGCCCCCAGAATTCGTTGTAAAACCAACTCCAGGTGTCGCTTATGCTCCTCAAAGGACGACGAAATAATGATCACGTCGTCGAGGTAAGCAAAAGCGAAAGGATCTAAGTCCGGGCCGATCACTTTGTCCATCAACCTCTGAAAGGTCGCGCCTGCGTATGACAATCCGAAGGGCATTCTCTTAAACTGAAAATGCCCCAGGCCGGGGACGGTAAACGCAGTGATGGGGCGCGACTCCTTTTTTAGAGGGATCTGGTGGTATGCGCTACTCAAGTCTAGTGTAGAGATGAACTTGGCATCCCTGATCCTTCGGAGGATGTCGTTCATGAAGGGCAATGGATAGGCGTCAGGCTTGGTTACTGCGTTCACCTTCTGGTAATTTACGCAGAACCGATACTTGCCATCTGCCTTCTTCACCATCACCACTGGGCTTGACCACCCGCTGGTTGCTGG